GCAGCCTCTGCCCATGGCGGGCCCCCAGCCCAGCAGCACGTCACTCCAAGGGCAGGCCCAACCTGGCCGGAGCAGCCCGCCACCCCAGGGTAAGTGGTTAACCCGGGAAAGTAACGTTTACCTGCTTAACTGATTAAACAGGACTTCACAGCCCTAGCCAGCCCCTAATGGTAAAGATGGCAATTGGAACACAGGGTTTCGAGAGAGATGGTACAGGAGAGGGGCGGGGGGAGAGTAAGCTGCATGGCAGGTCTGCCTGGGCGTTGGTGGGGACAGGTGGGGAACGTATCTGTCCCCGTCGCCTCAGGCTCTCTTTCCGAATTCACCCTGGTTCCTATCCCCAGAGTCCGCCCCTGCTGACAGTCCCGGTTTATTGGTGGAGTCGGTGGCAGAAAAGGCCAATTCGTGTCTAATCTCTACGCCCGAGCCCGGGATCGGTCCCTCCTCAGGGAAGCCGCTCAGCTACCCAGCGCCAGCCCGAAGCGGAACCCGTTGAGCCCAGGCGAGGAGCCAAGACTGGCGCTCGGGGGGACACGTACAGGAGAGGAACGACTTCCTGCTGCTCGCAGCCTCCCGCTTGATGTCCGCATCTGCATGGAGAACAGAGGGCGGCGCGGAGAGTTACTCTTGCTTTGAACAGAGGCCCATGAGTTTTGCATCGAAAGCCACCAGGCCGTGGTGAAAGCAGGTGAGCCTCAGCGCCTAGTTCTACCAGTGGCAGCAAGCAGCCGCTAGAAGGCCTGGGACGTGAGGGAGCCCGTCACTAGTCAATCTACAGAGGAGCGCTTGGACCCTGGGGCCGGGAGGCGACACTACAGCGGGGTTAGAGTGGAGACGCGCCCGTCAGTACAGGCCCACACGCTAGCGGCCAGCCGTTACACAGCGGGGAGAAATCCACACGCACACACACACACGGGGGCGAGTGACGACGTTGAGTAGTGTATTAGATTTTGCACACGGTACTAACGCTGCAAGGGACTGGCCACGGGAACTGGCCATTCGCCTCTGCTTTGCCGTTCAACTCCAGCCCGGCCCTTACGGCAATGGCTTGTCAGCAGCTAGGCCCGAGTCCCTCTCCCAGTGAGCGCACGCCGATGGCACAAAAACGTGGCAGGACAGGCGCCCAGGAACAAATGGGCCACAAGAAGGGATTGTTTTCCTCCCTACCGGGTTGCATCTGTGTATGTTGCTACCACACCGCCCTGAACACAGACCCTTGGCTGGACTATTCCTTGGCCAGGATGACTGCTACTTATTCCCACCTGCCATCTCCTGCCCTACAGCAGCACTTTCCCTGGCGAGGGACTTGGTCCACGACTAGCTGAGAGCCCATAATTACGCCCACTGGCTCCCTTGCATTCCTGGTTCTCTTCAGAGGCACCAAGAACTCGAGCAGCTGGTTTTGCTGCCTCCACAGAGTGGTCTCCTCACCTCAAAAAAGATATTTTGGCCTTGGAAAGGGTTCAGAAAAGGGCAAGTAAAAGGATTAGGGGTTTGGAACGGGTCCCATATGAGGAGAGGTTAAAGCGACTGGGACTTTTCAGTTTAGAAAAGAGGAGACTGAGGGGGGATATGATAGAGGTCTATGAAATCATGAGTGGTGTGGAGAGGGTGCATAAAGAACAGTTATTTATTAGTTCCCATAATAGAAGAACTAGAGGACACCAAATGAAGTTAATGGGTAGCAGGTTTAAAACGAATAAAAGAAAGTTCTTCTTCACACAGCGTGTAGTCAACCTGTGGAACTCCTTGCCAGAGGAGGCTGTGAAGGCTAGGACTATAATAGAGTTTATTTAAGCTAGATAATTTCATGGAGGTTAGGTCCATAAAAGGCTATTAGCCAGGGGATAGAAATGGTGTCCTTGGCCTCTGTTTGTCAGTGGCTGGGGGGGGGAGGGAGGGGAGAAAGCTGGAGAGGGATGGCAGGAGACAAATCGCTTGATCATTGTCTTCGGTCCACCCTCTCTGGGGCCCTTGGTGCTGGCCACTGTTGGCAGACAGGCTACTGGGCTAGATGGACCTTTGGTCTGACCCAGTACAGCCGTTCTTATGTTCTTAAACATGGGGGAACGTACTCACTAGACGCTGGCACCTGTCGCACCCACTGCCCGGTATTAACACTGCAAGGGACTGTCTCCTCGCTATCGCAGCTGCGGGTGACTGGACAACGGGGCATTGACGGCAGCGCAACTCCTCTGGGGTTTGCGCGCCAGCCTCAAGAAGGGGGCTGGTTAAGCAGCGCGACCCGGAGGATCAAATTCAATCCTGAGTTGGGTCCGAGTCTCACCAAGGCCACGAGAATAATCCTGCCCATGCCCAGACTGGATTTGGCCCCCTTGTCCTTGGAAACCCAACACATCCTTAAAACCACTGTTGACTTCTGCATCTCCTGTCTGCACTGTCCTGCCAAGCCCAGGAGCAGCCTGAGACTTGGCCTGCCTGGGGGGGAGACACGCTGCCCTGAGGGTAGAAACCTGGGGTTTAGCACCCAAGACGTTACAGAAAAGGGGAGAAAATATTATAGAGCAAGGCAGGAAAAAGGCCATTCCTCAAAATCCAGCCAAGGTGCTAAGAGGAGGCCTACAGCGGCCGCTGAGACGGGCGAACGGGTGCATAGCTGTTGATTCAGCTCTTGGCGGGGCACTGAAACACACAAGCTGCTTGCTGATCACTGCAAGTCTCTTGTCAGTTTCAGTCCTCTGCTGCCAGACGCAGCAGGGAGGGCGGGATTCCCATGAGGCAGTGCCTGGCAGGCGCTTTCCAAAGCCGTTTTTATAGCCAGAGGGAACGACCACAAACTCCTGCCCTGGAATACTCACCACCTAAGACACAGGGAGCATCTCAGCCGGGGTTAAATGCTGAGCTAAATCTTCAGTGCGTCTTCCAAGCCTCCTTCTAAACTTGAGTCAACAGGGAGTCCAGGACAGAGGAACAGCCATCAGGTGGGTCAGACTCAACCAGCACCAGGCAGTTGCCAGTTTGATGGCCACTGCCAGCAGCAGGGACATGGGGGCACCCCAGGACTAGGGGACCCGCCTTATCTCCAGCTCGGGCGGAAGGCAGGGAAGTTTGTAGGCGCATGGAAAGAGGACGAGGCTCTTCCCACCCAGCAGAGCGCGGCCAGTGCTGCACGTGTCCGCAGTATCGCAGGCAGAGCGACCTGGGCCGGGCCAGCACAGACAGCCAGGGTGAGCAGCATCCAACAGGCACCTCGCAGGAGGGGTGAGATTGGAACCCTGTCTCCCCAGCTGCCAGAACCAGGACCTCCCCCAGCCCCTCTCCCAAAATGGTACCTTCCGACCTGTGTTTCCAATGCAAGTGACCTGCTTTGGGCACAGCCACCCGAAGGGCCTCTGCTCCCTACACAGGCCCGGCTGCCCGCGCCGCGTCAGTCCCGTCCCCTGCGGGAGCTGCCTCCCCGAGCACCCTGCTGGCAGAGCTACGGGTCAAGCTTCCTGCGGGGCAGCATCCCACATTGCAGGCCCCCAGGAAGGAACCACGTGTTGCAGAGCTGCCCCAGCAAGGAAGGACGGGCACCCAGGACGCCCGAGTGGCCGAGCTTGCTGGGAAGGGCTACAGCCCGCTCGGAGCCACGGGGGTTAACAGAGCCGCTTGCTGGAAGGGACGTTACCGGGACACTTCCACATCCGCCTGGGCCAGAGCTAACCCATCGCGCCAGCCGCTTAAGGCTCCAGGACGCCTGCCTTCCGCTAGCGCTGCATGGCGGGGGAAAGCGCTCAGGACAGCGCTGTCCCTTTAAAAGGAAGGCCCCAGTGTTCTCCGCCTCTCACCGCGCAGGAGCATTCGGGGGCCACCCGGAGAAGCCTTTAGCGCCTCTGCTCAAGGGAGCTATTGTCCTGCATTCGCAGTGGGCTGGGGGGAGGGAGGGTAGCCCCCAGCTGGACTCTATGCAGCAGAGCAGGGTTTGGGGAACCTGCAGCCAGGGGCTGGATCTGCCCCCCAGCTTCCCTGGATCTGGCCCCTGGGGCCTGGGGCTCCCTCCTAGCATTGGCAAGCTGGCGCTCCTGCCCTGCAGCCCCCCTCCTACCCAGACCCCCGTACCCCCACTCCGCTTCTGCACCCTCCCAGACCCACCAACCCCCAACCCACTCCTGCACCCTTCTCCCAGCAGCCCCCTCCCACATCCTGAACTTCTCATCTCTGGCCCCACCCCAGAGTATGGGGTGGGGGGGCACAAAAATCTACTAGCCTGGGGCCCCCCACGGCTGTGGTATGTGAGGGGTTTTTGTTTGTTTCTCACTAGTGTACGGCCCCGACTGATTTTTCGGTGGGTCAGCAGCCCCGGGCCCAAAAAAGGTTCCTCCTTGCAGGAGAGGGGTCTCATCTCATCTCGCAGGTTACAGCAGGTATGAGGCAGGGGCTGCAGCACGTTGAAACCAACCCATGGAAACCCATGGCGTGGCTGTGGGCCCACCAGGCGACGTGCCTCTGCGGATGTTCTAGGCATGGCACAACGTCCCACTCGCTGCCAGACTATTCCCCACCTGCCTGCATGAGTGGCCCGCTCCTTTGCCTTAGCCACACCGACGCCGCTATTCATCGTTCCCCAAGGCCCGGGAACGGAGCATGAGCTGAGAGATCCCGGAGAGCAGCTCGCAAGGAGCCGGCTACACGCACAGAGCCCTGGGACAGGAACCAGAGGAAGCATCGCAGCTGGTGTTTTTGGTGTCGGGTCTGAAGCCGTCCCGCTGATGCAGGACTCAAGTGTTAGCAGCAGCTTCTGAGGCCTCCGCTCTCGCTGTGGGCCCGTGACACGCCCAGGTGACACAGACCGACAAACAAGCACACACACATACATACACACGCACGCACGCGTGGCGCAGTGCAGTCTGGGATACTACCTGAAAACAAGGAAGCCATTGACACAGACAGGCCGTTCTGGGACATTTGAATCAGGTTAGATCCATCGTTACCATCTGCATAATACGGTGATGACAAAATATTGCACTTCAGTGCTGGGCCCAGCCACCGAGAAAGGGCACAAGCCCAGGGGGAAGAGAGCAGGGCCTGCCAGCACCCTCTGGGAGATGCCCCGGGACAGCTTCACGCACTCTCCTTGGACTGTAACCCGGAGCCCAACCTCCGAGCTACAGGCTGCCTCACCGCGGAGAGAGATGCAGGGTGACAGAGGGGCCTTTGGATCTCCCAGTACACCTGCCATCGGCCCAGAGGAACACAGGAGAGTGCTTGGCAAATGCACCTTTAAAATCAGCCAGAGGGGGGCACCGCGGAGCTGCCAGGTGTGTATTTCTGCCAGATGCAGGTGAGGGCCAGGGTGTGAAGCCAGGCCTCCTGCAGGGAGCGCTCTAGGCCACGGCACCTTGGAGGTCTGTATCTGAACACAGCCACCCCCCAGCTACAGCAAGCTGGCGCTTAGCGCCGGTAGCAGACAGCCTTGTGCCGTCCCTGGCCAGCGTGAGTGGGCAGAGCAGCTGGGCATTTGAATGCCTCAGCCCGGCCATTCCCAGCCCGGAGGCCTTTACCGGTGAAAGGGTCTCTGGGAGGAAGCCAGCGGTACAGCAACCGAAGGGCTGATGCAGCTCCCAGAGGCAAATCACTCAGCCTCCGCCTGCACACAAGGCCCCCTACCCAAAGGGGATCAGTTTCCCACAGTCAACATAGCGCTCCACGTGGCCCTGTCGAAACGCCAAGGGGCCTGCTCCTCCCTGGTATAGCGCTGCAGATGGCACAGCCGTCGCGCCGAGGAGGCGGCTGGCCCCATATCCCCATCTGGTGCAGCAGCTGCGGCTTACCTCTGATCTCGTACTCCTCCACGTCCTCCGCCGAGCCCGAGTCAGACAGCCACATGGAGTCCCGGGAGCTGAACTGCGACTCGCTGTCTGTAGCCACGAAGCCTGGAGGGGCAAACCCAGAAGGTCGGAGAGACGTGGCCCTGGCGCCCACAGAGTGTAAGAGTGACCTTGAACGGACAGAGGAGCCGGCCAGGGCAGGTCACGTCGGGTGACGGGGGTGCCCAGAATGAAGTTACGTCTGCACCTTGACACCGCCACGATAAACACGCACACAGACTCAGCAACAGCATGTCGTCTCTCTCTCTCTCTCTCTCTCTCTCTCTCTCTCACACACACACACACACACACGTCTTTTCACACATTGGCCTGCTAAACCCAGGGTTGTGAGTTCAATCCTCAAGGAGGCCATTTAGGGATTTGGGGCAAAAAATCTGTCAGGGATGGTACTTGGTCCTGCTGTGAAGGCAGGGGACTGGACTCAAGGTCCCTTACAAGGTCCCTTCCAGTTCTAGGAGATAGGCAATCTCCATTCATTAAAAAAAAAAAATGCCATGTTCACACTAGGAAATTACTTTGAAATTACTAAATTTGACTTAAGTCCCGATTTAACCAATTCCAACTCTCGTGTCCTCACCATGGGGAAGGCTCGACATGCGTCCAAGGCAGGCTCCATGGATGTGCTGCCTCGGGCTCAGAACCCAGGCAGCTCTCTGGGAAACTGTGGGAGGCCTCCTGGAGGCCAATTAGTTCGAATTAGTGGTGCTGGAACATCCACATGTTATTTTGGACGTACAAGCTGGGAATTAGCGCGATTCCTCGTGACAAGGAGTACAGCGACGTTCGAATTCCGCGGCCCTTATTCCAGAATAACGGGCATGGTAGTGCGCACGCACCGCTTCCTAATTCGAACGGAGGGGGGGAGGTTATTTCGGACTAAGGTCCTCGGGCCGACCAGGGCTCAGAGACTAACAGATGTATTTGGGCGTGAGATTTTGTGGGTAAGAACCAGCTCATCACATGCCCCCAACAAACTGGGTTTTGCTCCCGAAAGCTTTCGCCCAAATAAATCGGTCACTCTCTGTGCCACCTGACTCCTCGTTGCACCTACTCAGAGCCAGCATAAGGGGCATTCCCACAGAGCATCTCAGCCGTCTGACGCCCACCGGTGGGCACAGGACTCGCCCTGGCTGGCGGAGCGGCCCTGCCCCCGAAAGCAGCACTCACTGTCGGAGCCCATCTCCCGGTAGGCAGGGAGCACGTCCTTGGTGCGGATCTGCAGGCGCCGGATGCGAATCTTCTGCTTGAGCTCCTGGATCTCCTTGTCGCTCTCCTCTTCGTCCTCCTCCAGCCGCCGGCTCATCACGTTGCATTTCATCAGCTCGATGGCGGCGATGAGCGACTCGGAGATGCTGAAGTGAGCGTTTTCCTGGGGGGCAGAGGCCAAACCATTGCCAGAGAGCCTGGACCCTGAGGTCTCCCCCGCGCCGCATGACACCCCTACCTTGCAGTACAGAGCCGGCGACCCACCGTGGAGGGGGCCACAGGGGATCTCCCACAACAGGGGGAGACGTCATGCCCTACGGATGCCAAGGAATCCAGCCCCTGCAGTCGGGCCATGAGCCTTCTCAAGCCCAGAGCCCCGTGTGCGCGCCCTTTGGTAACGCTCTGCGCTCGCCTGCTGCTTTCTGGACGAGTGTTTGGGTTTACGTGATTCTTATGAGGACAGACGTTCTCAAACTGGTGGGAGGCACCAAATGTATTGCGGGGGGATGTCAGAAGCTTTAGGGAAAACACTTGATCGCGCACATTTTCCCCACAACAAAGAATACGTGATTGCTCCGGACGCGCCAGGTCCTCGGACGGCCCCCTGGGCATTCGGAGAGCTGACTGAGAAGCCTGCGTCGCGCTCTCCAAGCTGTTGCCGCCTGGACGTTAATCCGCCTGCTACGAGGCGGCGTGCACAGGAATCGCCCCCCACCGCCGTTTGGCTCTGGCTCTGATCACAGGGAATCCTGGCTTGACTCCAGGCCTGACGGTTGGCGATCCTTTGTGAGAGCTGCATGCTGATTGCTTTAGCTATGGACTGGGGTGATAAGGAGTCAGGATGTAAAATCCCATAAGAACAGCCATACTGGGCCAGACCACAGGTCCATTCAGCCCAGGATCCTGTCTGTCGACAGTGGCCAATGCCAGGTGTCCCAGAGGGAGTGAACCGAACAGGGAATGATCAAGCCATCCATCTCCACCCTCTGACAAACAGACTAGAGACCCCATTCCTTATCCATCCTGGCTAATAGCCATTTACGGACTTCACCTCCATGAATTTATCTAGTTCTCTTTTAAACCCTGTTATAGTCCTAGCCTTCACAGCCTCCTCAGGCAAGGAGTTCCACAGATTGACTATGCGCTGTGTGAAGAAGAACTTCCTTTTATTTGTTTTAAACCTGCTGCCCATTAGTTTCATTTGGTGGCCCCTAGTTCTTATATTATGGGAACAAGTAACTAACTTTTCCTTATTCACTTTCTCCAATCACTTTCTGATTGTAGAGACCTCTATCACATCCCCCCCAGTCTCCTCTTTTCCAAGCTGAAAAGTCCCAGTCTCTTTAATCTCTCCTCATATGGACCCAATCTAACCCCCTCATCATTTTAGTTGCCCTTCTCTGACCCTTTTCTAATGCCAGTAGATCTTTTTTGAGATGAAGAGACCACATCTGTACGCAGTATTCCAGATGTGGGCGTACCATGGATTTATAGAAGGGCAATAAGATCCTCTCCATCTTATTCTCTATCCCTTTTTAATGATCCCTCACATCCTGTTTGCTTTTTGGACAGCGGCTGCCCCCTGCGTGGACGTCTTCAGAGAACGATCCACGATGACTCCAAGATCTCTCTCCTGATTTCCCGTTTCATTGGCTAACCAGTAAAACAGATTGGTTAACCTATTAAAGAAGGGCTGAGCCACTCCAGCCCCTGCATTGCGGAGCGGCCCAGGCCCACCGGAGCAGCTCCTGTCCACGGTGATCACCACGTGGGGCTGGAGCAGCCCCCTGCCCGCAGCAAACCGGGAGCTGCTCCACCCCCCACCCGCTAACCTTAACTGGTAAGGCTCGTCTGTGAAGGGCTTACCCGTTAACTGGTGAAATCTTCACATCCCTAGTGGGGAGGGGGCCTTAGCTCCCACAGACAGACGGGGGAGGGTGCGCTCAAGCAGGCTGGACACCTGCTGGACTGGGAGACCCGCTGGATCCAGACTGGAAGGAGACGTCTCGGGATGGTCACCCGCCAGACCCCCCTTCTGAGTTCCCAGGGGCGACCTCAGAGCCATTCGCTCCGACAACTCGGGGTCCATCCCCCCAGCCCAGGGGGCCCAAGCCCAGCGACGCAGGGATAAGCCTAGTGGAGAACCAAGAGCCCTGGCAGGCTTGGGAAAGACTCCCTGGGACCAGAGGGAAATCCAGCGGATCCACTCGGACACATGCCGCTGGGAGGGGGGTCTGAAGAAGCGAGGCCTGCGGGGTCGCCATGAGGTGGTGGGACACTGGGGTGACAGATCTGGGTCGGGGGGAGGTTTCTCTCTCTCTTGCTGCTCTCCAACTGCTAAGAAAACCACTTGGTCTTAAGGCAGCCAGGGGCACTATCCCGGCCCAAGGCAAGAGCCTGGAAGCCAGGTGAGCTGCCAGGGCAGCTGGTGTCTGCAGGGCACCGCGAGCATGTCCCAGTCTAAGAGCAGGCTTCCTCCCTGGGGCAGCAAAGGGCTAGAGGCCCATGACCGGAGATAGGTGCCCTCGGAAACGAGAAAGGGGACAGAGGTGCAGCTTAGCCCGGCCACGGGGCACTAGCCCCCGAAGAGAGCAGCTGGCTTTGGCTTTTCACAAGTCAACGCTAGTTGCAGCTTGGGGCGTAGAACGCCACCGACCCCGGCAATAAAGGGATCGCTATGGGGCTTGTAGGCAGGAGTATCACCGTCCCTTACCTGCACGCAGAGGGAAAAACGCTTTGATCCTGACCTTGAAATCCACCCCCATCTCCCGACTGCAGGAAACAGCGACGGGAGCCCTCCCACTGCACCCTGGCTGAGTTCCCAGCCCCTCGCTATCGACACCAACCCCAAGCTGACACGTGAAACCAGACCGGGGCGCTCTCGGCACGGCTCTACGGCCGGCAGGACTGCGGCACCAACGCTGGCTTCTGGGTAGGGCGGCTTGGCAGCGCGACCGGGCCACCGAGCAGCGACAAAAGCGCACGGATCCCCCCGCATCACCCACCTTCTCCAGGTCCGCGCAGCTGCCGAAGTCCTGCTCAGACAGGTAACTGATGAGGGACTGCCCTTCCGACGGCCTTCGGAACATGCCTTCCCCCGAACTCAGGTACTGGCCAGTGTCTAGCAACACAAGCAACGAGCAAGTGAGGCAACCCCCGGGACCCAGGCACGAATCCATTCCACGGCCCCAGCCAACACGATCCTGGCCTCAACGCAGGCACGGCCAGACTAGAGACCTTGCCTCTGGCCCCTGGGGTGCAGGTTCCCTGCCCCGGAGCCCTACCGAGGAGATCATAGCGGCTTGATTCTGGCCACTCACCCCTACCCCTCCCAGCTGCTCCTGGAGTGAGAGGGAGCAGTGAGTGCGGCGCGTTGGCCTCCCACGCCCCAGAGCAACCCCCCATTTGGGCCCTGTCCAAAGCGGCTCTGCATCCGGGCGAGGAGTGCCACCCGCCAACCCCAGCCGGGGCAACGGTTAACCTTCCCCTCCACCCGACTCACCGTACTCCATGTACAGGGAGCTGGGCGTGCTCACTTCGCTGCTCTGGGTGGAGCCGGAGACACAGCCGATGGCCCTGGAGGTGTCGCCCTGGGACTCTTTAAGAGACAAGAGCAGGGACGCCCGTCAGTAGCAGAGGGGCCCGTGCGGGCGATTAACCCCCAGCCCCTCGGGACGCAATGGAGTGGAGCCGATGGGACACGACAAGAACGAATGAACACAGAAAAGGAACCACGGTGGGGAGAAGAGTTCAGCCAGTGGGTCTCCAGGGAGAAAGGGACAGAGCTGTGCTGCAGCCAAGCCAGATCCAGGCAACGCAGCAGAGGCTGTTCGGCGCGCTCAGGCATGGGCACGGCCTTCCCAGAACTGCCTACGCACCCGGCCGGCGGGAAGGTGGGGCCGCAGCACGGCAACCCCAGCCCTCCAGGTGGCCAGGAAGGATCAGGCTGGGGGGGGCGGGGCTTGGCTCCGGGGGCGGGGGCCCCGGTGGAAGGGGCGGGGCTAAGGCTTGCCTTCCCCAGCTGGGCCTTCAGCAGAGCTGACTGGGGGCTCCCTTTCCTGCCCAGCTGACCTGGCCAGGCTTGGTCCTGTTGGGAGTGGGTACCAGCCCGCTGTCCGTCCTGAGCACATGGTGGTTCCTGCGCGTGATCCCCAAGCCCGCAGCTGGGCTGAAGTTGCCTCCAGTCCTCAGGAGCGACTTGAGCTGCTGGCTTGGGCCAAGGGGGCGTGGCTCCCGGCTTTCCGGGGCCTCCCGGGCCGCTCA